ACCAACTGAGCTACAGAGGCCAGTTGTCGAGCTCTAACCAACTGAGCTACAGAGAGACAGAGAGGCCAGTTGTCGAGCTCTAACCAACTGAGCTACAGAGAGACAGTTGTCGAGCTCTGACCAACTGAGCTACAGAGAGACAGTTGTCGAGCTCTAACCAACTGAGCTACAAAGTCCAGTTGTCGAGCTCTAACCAACTGAGCTACAGAGGCCAGTTGCTGAGCTCTAACCAACTGAGCTACAGAGGCCAGTTGTTGAGCTCTAACCAACTGAGCTACAGAGGCCAGTTGTTGAGCTCTAACCAACTGAGCTACAGAGGCCAGTTGTTGAGCTCTAACCAACTGAGCCTCAAGAGTCCAGTTGTCGAGCTCTAACCAACTGAGCTACAGAGGCCAGTTGTTCAGCTCTATCTAACCAACTGAGCTACAGAGTCCAGTTGTTGAGCTCTAACCAACTTAGCTACAGAGTCCAGTTAATTTGCCGAACATTAACTAGAATAACTGTAATAATTGTATATATGGTCAGGTGATGCCAGTGTTAATTAGTATATGGGTGAATATCAAGATTTTAATATGGGCACCTCGTTCGATATTGAACGGAATGTAGATGGTTTTCGAACGAAAAATTCTCAATGGAATTTTCAAATGTGTTTTCAGTGAATGGAATTTTCAATTTTTCAAACGAAAAAATTTTTTCGTTCCAAAATTTTATCTATACGTATACTAAAAACCTGCCTACATTCAAGTTCTATCGGATGAGACGCTCAAAATCTTGATATTTAAACAAACGGTTTAAATTCTTTTCTGGGGGTTTCTTAGAAGAATTCAATTTGCATTTTGCAATTTGTTAAAAGCCATTTTGCTTACAATTTGTTAAAAGCCATTTTGCTTACCTAGTCAGCCGTTGCCATAATAGTGGATTATCTGTAAGTTCGTTCCAAGCTCGATTCACCTGATTGCATCGGCACAGACTGACTGAAAAAAAAGTCATTTCTATCATTGGTTCCTTCACAAGCAAGGGTGGGTAGTAGCGAAGTAGTTGTAGTTCGCTACTGTAGCGAACTACAATTTTCAAGTAGCCAGTAGTTTTTGACTACTTTTTCAAAACAGTAGCTGTAGTTATAGCGAACTACATTTTGCCTAAAAGTAGCCAAATAGTTGACTACTTTTCAAACAGCAAATCGCTATTCGCTACTTTTTAAAATTGTTAGCAACTTGATAGAATAGAATGTTATTAGGACACAGTTTGCTTAAAATCAATGCTCAATTTGCATGAATAAAGTATGCCGTGCAACTGTTCAAACTGTGCGAGTGCATGCCGTCTTATTTACTCGCGTAAGTCGATTTGTTATAGGTTACATTACAGCCTGTGCTATAGTAGATGTTCCATATACAGTAAAATTAAAAAATATTGAGTAGCGAAATAGCGAAATAGTTCGCTACGTTTTTTAAGCAGTAGCTGTAGTCAGTAGCGAACTACTTTTGTTCAATAGTAGCAGTAGTTGTAGCTGACTACATATTTTTGAAGTAGCTGTAGTTATAGCGAACTACAAAAATTTTGTAGTCAACCTACCCTTGTTCACAAGTAAAAACGCGCAATATTGTTGTCAAGCCGATTAGCCGATATCAGGATGCGTTCGTACTGCTTGTTCCCAGTTGTTGTGACAAGTCTGGAACAAGTTGTTATCACCTTGTTAAAAGGTTGATGACGGTAACAGACTTGCTACAAGTTGTTCCAGGGACGCCGGAGCGAGGATAGGGCACAGGGGGGGCAATGTTGACGTAAGGGCAATCACTAATTAATATTTCGTTTCCGAAAATTTTTTCCGGGACCTTAATTCACCAAAACAAGGGCAAACATTTTGAAAACATAATTTTTGACACAATATTCCAGAAAATTTCACGTATATTTCAATATTACGTACATTTCACCCGTAATTCATACTTTTTAATCGTTGGACCTAGTCATATTTTTTGGGTTAGAATTTTTGTCTATAAGGGCACTTTCGTCCCCCTTACTAAAGGGCAAGGGGCGCGATGCCCCCCTGCGCCCCCCCCCCCCTTTCCGGCGTCCCTGAGTTATTCCAACAAGACTAATACAGGTTGTCCGTAACAAGTTGCTATACGAGCTTGTTGTCGTCAACTTGTTACGTGCAGACGATATCAGACCTGTTGGAACAACTTGTTGCGAGTCTGTTGGCCTCATCAATCTTGTTATATATTTAATAAATAGATAAGATTTTTGCCGTTGTCTGTTCAATTATAGATACACAGTATGACGTCATCTGGGGCGAGTGGGTCACTTTGTTTGTTCTGCCCACATTTTGACCTCATACTGTGTATCTAAAATTGAAAAGACAACGGCAAAATCTTATCTATTTGTTTTATATAATAAAAAAAAGAAAAACCCCGAATTAAACAAGTAAATAGATTACTTTTTATCCACCCAAACATTTGGAAATTTGAAAAAGTCGAAATTTGACAAATATCACGCGTACATGATCTATACAAATAAGGAAGCCGTGGCGATGGATTTTGTTCTTCTTGCCTAGATCAAAATTTAGTCTAGAGCTGGAATTGCCTATTCCGTGCGTCATGTCCTCTAATAGATCATGGCTCTCGATCAACGAAAGCGCTTGAATTCTTACCGTTATTATATAAAAGATGATAACAATTTGTTCTATAGATGCTTGAGATGTTACTCTGAGTGTATATCCACACCGGGCAAGCTTGAAAAATATGCCTGGCCACGGTGGGAATCGAACCTACGACCTTTGGAACACTAGCCCAATGCTCTGCCAACTGAGCTACGCGGCAGGGCTCGAATTTTATCGCGGCAATCGCGGCAATTGTCGTAGAGGGAGAACAAAATGCCGTGGATCATTGCGGCAACGACAGCAATTTTTTGCCGTATAGTGCAATTTTTATACTATTCAGATGTTGATCAAATCATGCGTAAATCATTATTAGTCTTAGTTTTCTTCGAGAAAAAAAACACTAAAGAAATACGTAGACATGTTTCTAGCTTGTCCAAAATCCAAAGTAACAATAAAATTAAAGTTTTATTCAGTAATTTGAAAAATGCCGTGGAAACTGCCAAAATTGCCGTGGACAGCTGTTACGCGTTCTACGGCAATTTTTAACGTCATTGCCGTCGATTGATTTCAGGGAAATTCGAGGCCTGCTACGCGGTCTATAGAGTTGTCAACAACTGGGAACAAGCAGCGCGTAAACATCATGTTGTTGACAAACTGTGACTCGGGTTTTTACCCGTGTAGCCTCAAGCCGAACTTATAATACCCTACCTGGGTCTAGATACGTAAGTATCTTCAAAGTGACGGTATAAGGTAACCACACCAACATATCTTGACAGTTTGGTGGACAAGTCTTGTGGAGATTGTTTTCCATTGCTACTGACAGAAGATGCATCTGGGGTAGCTCACAGCAATTCTTGGAGAAAATATTGTACAAATAAGTAATGGCCAACAATTACGGACATGATCATTCTATTTCCTTACTATAAAGAGCCTGTTCATATGGGGAAAAAGTTATCGATCTCGGGTTAGCGAGAAAACATTTCGACTGGCCAAATAATTTTGTTCTGTTCATATGGAGAAACGTTATCCCGGCTGTGACGTAGCACTGGTGTGACGCGCAAGGATTTGTAAGAAAGTTTTCCCGCCAAGCGGCAAAGTTGTGAATATGTTGTGTTCATATGGGAAAAACATTATCCCGGTCACCGAGATCTCGCCTGTCAACAAGCGAGATCTCGGTACACGGAAAAACTTTTCGTCTCATATGAACGCATTGTAACTTTTCATAAGGCGAGATCTCGCTTGTAAACTTGTCGAAATGTTTTCTCGCTAACCGAGATAACTTTTCTCCATATGAACATGCCCTAATTTGCAATTATCATTGATGTATAACCCGTCGAAATATGACTTCTGTAATAAACAGTAAATTCTATCGCGCGATGTTGTAAATCGCAAAATCAGAGAATACGGTATAGGTCGTTTGCAATTTACCTCAATTGCTGGTTGCGGAACATATTTGTAGATATACTGTATTTAGTTTAATGTTTGCCTGGTGTGAGTTACTGCCTATTCGGCATTTCCATTTCTAGTGGCAACAGTGCTGTATTCTTAGACTTAAGGCTGGACAAGTTTACACTATCGAAGATTCTGTGATCATAGTATAGTAATTTTGCATAAGTTTTGAAGGATTTGTAAGAAATGTTTGACTGAACTGACTCAGTTTTAACATTTTGCATATTCTTACCAAAATCTTTTTCAAAATAATATTTCTTTGTTCATCATTGAATTCTTCAAACCAACTTAACATCAACTAAAACATGTTTCATAAATGTTTCATTAATGAGAATTGTATTTCATCAGATCCTCAGACAATCGAACATATTTCGAACCATGGCTGTCAGATGTTGGAATCCAAGGTAACCACATTACATGCAAGTGACTGGAGCTAACTGTAACCTGGGTCACAAGATCTTGTGCATGCTAGTATGGTATAGAAAATTTCAATTTTTTCCCAGTATCTTTTTGCAATATTTATACCGACCAGAGTTAATAGGTTTCTCTTTTTTATTACTGCATTCTCTTTTCAGTTTTCTATTTTCAAACTTTGTGTGGTTTGACTATTTTATAGTAACTGTTCTGTGGCCAAATTTTATTTATAAAATTTCAAGCTGTCAAGCTCCGAGTTATAGTTCCTATTGCCCAAATTGACTTTCTCAAGCGCTATTGCTTATTAAAACGTTGCTCCCAGTGGACCGGTTCCCAGCTAACTGCAAATTATTTTTGGTTACCCGCAAACATATACAGGCATATTTCGAATGCAATATTTTAAACGCGTTAAGGTCCAGACACACCGGACGCGATTCGACAACGCAACGCAACTTTTTAGTTTTTGAAAGTTAATAAAACAACCAATGAGAGCAAATTGTGAAAGATATGTAGACACTAATAGCTCAAAATGTTATATCGCTTCCAAATATTTTGAAAATATAAACTACAGAATCAAAGTTATCCGTCAGTGAAAAGCGAAAAATCGCGTCGCGTCGTCCAATCGCGTCCGGTGTGTCTGGACCTTAGAACAACGCAGCTTAGAACGCATTTAGTAACGCATAATATACGGATAACGCATAATATTCGGAACGCAATTTTGATGTCTCTGGAATTTGAATGTGTTTGAAACCAAGATTTGTACCCATCTGCAACGCATTTTTTATAATCACGATTATAGAACATGGCAACGCAACTTACTCACAGAATGTGCTTCGAGCGTAATTTTCAACCGGTAAAAATCGGCTTAAACGAACCAACTTACTTCAGTTCGCATCTTGAAAGTTTCTCCGGGTACAGGGAGCCCAATTTCATCACTCTTCAAATCCGACTCTGACGTCTTCCACGTGTGAATGGGCACGTCATTTTGTGAAGGACTGAAACTTTCATCAAACATGGACACATAATCCGATGTCCCTGAGCATTCTAGAACCTCGGGGCTTGTGAGTGACCTGGAATGTCCACGTATTTGAAATTCCTCATTGGGAATTACCGTTGTTGCAACATTCCTTAAGTTTTCACAATTTTGTGACCACAAACCGTTTGTGCTTGTTGAACATTCCTTATAAACTTTAAGATCTATTTGGTCATTCATTGACTTGGTATTCTTTGTTGGACTATCGGGCTTCTTCTCGGAGCTTCCCAACATATTGGAATGAACGCGCGTTTGAAATTTCTCGCGGGACATAACCGGCGTTGCAATACTGTCAGTGTTAATTTGATTATCGAACGTTTCTAATGTCAAGTCACTTTCAGGCATGATACAAGGACAGTTATGACTCAATTCGGTATCATTGCAAAACTCCAAATCACGCTCATCGGTTAAACCGTCAACTTGTTCGGTAATTTTTAGTTCACTCTCCAAACAGCCATCACCACAACTACTTTTATTTGACTGGCATGCATCATTGCTATAAATACTATCACGGTTAATTTCAGGAAACGAAGTACCATCTACAGATATTTCACTCTCCAAGCATCTATCACAATCCGTATGTATATTTGATTGGTATGCATTGTCACTGCAGAAACTATCCTCTGATTCTTCGAGGAATGAGGCATGATCAACACACGTTTCATTCATGTCCATAGCACAAGAATTTAGTGCATTTTTTGCAACATCATTTATACACTGTTTATTTGCATTAGAGACATTTTTCCCTTCTGACTCTTCTGAAATTTCTGAACTTTGGTGAGGCTTTGATAATACACACATCTGTTTTGTTAACAAATGGTTCCCATTACAATTAGCAGACACATCACCAGTGCAATCACATGATAACTTGACATTTCCAGAAACATTCCCATTACAATTAGCAGACACATCACCAGTGCAATCATATGATAACTTGACATTTCCAGAAATTTGTTCTGAGGTTGCTATTTCTGTTAACAGATGGTTTCCATGGTGAAGACCACACCCATTGCAGTTATTCGACACATGGTCATCATGCTGACATGGTAAATAAACATCTTCAGAAATTTGCTCCGAGGTTGGTAATGACGGTGGTGGTTCTGTTAGCAGTTGGTTTCTATGGTGATGAGCACACCTACGGCAGGTATCTGACAGGCAGTCTTGAGGGTTACACAACAATTGAACATTTTCAGAAATTTGTTGTGAGGTTCCTGATGTAGATGGTTGTTCGGTGAACAGATCATTTTCATGACAAGAACCACTTGAAATGCAGTAATCATGAGCCAATGCAGATGTTTCAGAAACAGTTGAAATATTGGAAGTTTCATCTTTACTTGGTAAAGTACTACATAAGCTTTCATCTTTCATTGAGCCAGGCTCGTTTTGGATTATTTTTTCGATATCACTGACATTTTCAGTAACAGTTTCTTGTATTGTCATTGAGCTTAATGATGCAGCACAACCAAATGGATATGAGGAGTCTGTAGTATTGACATTACTATTCCCACTAGCATTTCTAGTTTCTTGGACAACACAATTATTATTTACAACACCCAAAATATCACTGTCATTACCAACATAATTATTCCCAATAACATTCTTAACATTATAATCATCGTTAAAATCTAAGCCCAATTCTTGGACAGACTTGTTATTATATAAAACACCTAAAGCACCAGGTTCGTTATCACAAAGGGTAGGTTCATCATGACTAGAACATGCATCATTTATGTCTTCGTTAATGCTTGACAAACTTAACGAGGCCTCTATGTTCAAAGTTCTGTCCAAAGGTAGAGGTGAATCACAGCTTGTTGTGATTTCATTTTTGCATGCTTCCTCACAATCTCTCTTACTAGTTTCATTGAAACTAGAACGTCTTGCCACGAGGCTTATATCTCTTTCAGAAATTGTGCTATTTTTATTTAAATGAGCTCTACTGCCTTCCTTAGTAGCAGAAATTAAATTTGAATTGGTTTGATCAATTGTTTCATATCCAAATTCTTCTTCTTCAAACGTACAGTCTTTTTTGAGTTCACGATTAAAGCTACTCATTCTCCTAGCCATTTTCTTGGGCGATTTATAGAAATGTACAACCCCAACAATACTGCCACTTTGATCACGAATCTCACCCAACGAGGTTGATTTCTCGAGCCTCGTTAACTCTGCAGTGTTTACGCTCTTCGATTTCTTGATGCACATTTTTGGGAATTCTGTATTCAGCTTGCCAGCAAAGGTGGCAGTACGCCGCAACCCATAGCATTTTTGTTTGAGAGGGGGTGAGAAGCTACCAAATGGTGTATTTGGCGTGTTTATGAATCTACGTTTAGATGGAGATATGCAACTCTGTGACCCAGGGAAACTTTTCGACCTACGGACGTTTCCCGAAGTCGGACTCATGCAACGTCGTGATAAATGACTTACGGAAGATGAGGATTTTGATAATCGTTTGGGTGGGGGGTGAATGTCACTCAACGGCAGGCTATCATTTTTAACAGGGGGGTTGATCTCTCTAGCTATTTCGGTCAATACAAAGGTATTTTTATGTCTCCTGGAACCCCTACCCCCTGCATGGCTAGTTGCACCAAAATCACAGAAGCTGCCAGTTGCCGTAGGGCTGTTTGCCCCACTGGAACATACGCTGCCTGTACGTGTGCTCGGCTGCGAACTTTCATGAGAGGTACAAGGATCGTCTTGTTTTCCCCGAACCTGGAAAGACTTTTTGGACGATTCCGACTTACATTGCCTTTTCCGGGATGAAATCCGAAACTTCCTACTAGCCCTTCGTGTAAATGACCAAGAATTTGAATGCCTGTCTTCCACGCTGGAATGGTTCCCCTCATCCGTGTGGCATTGACAAATTTCATTTTTGGCACTCTTGTTTCTGCGAGTGAACCAAATTACCTTTTTCCAAACACGAGATTTAGACTTACTGCCTTCTTTTGGAAGTCGGCCATCGCAATCTGGGCATTTTATACGTCGATTCGTGATGTCTTTGTTGCCGATAGGGTCTTCTCTTTGCGAATTTCGTCCATTTTGGGTTCGATTCTGGCCACGGGAACCCGAAGGTTTTTGCCGAGAAATGTGGTTGTCCCGCTCCATTTTATTTCATAAATTCATTGCGGAATGTTCCGGGCTTGAGAAAAAAATGTTAAGTAGTTCAAAAGAAGGCAAGCGATGCCCAAAAATGGTAAAAAAATAACAAATTGTTTTACTTTTCACTTCAAATTTTCGAATTCGGCCATTTTTTACATAATAAGTAACAAATTAATTTTTTTTCTCCCATCATGCAACTGTGAGTTGGTGTTTCCATTCCTCTCATCAAATTTCCTTTCATGCCCAAAATCCTTTTTCCTTTCAAAATTTCCTTCACAAGTTGGGCTGTCAGAAAGCAAAATTTCATACAGGGTCACACACGCAAAAATCTCTCATCTTGTAGCAAGTCTGTCAACCAGCCGTCAACAAGTTGTGTCCGCACTGCTTGTCCTAAGTTGTCAACAAGTTTGGAACTTAACAACTTGTGACAACCTTGTTGATATTATCACGCTTGTTGCAAGGTTGTTCCGACAAGTCCGATACAGTCATGATATAACAATATTGTTACAACCTTGTGTGATCTGCACTGATCAACCTTGTAACATTCTTGTTATATCATTGACTGTATCAGACTTGTTAGAACAACTTTGCTACAAGTCTGATAATGCCATCAAGCTTGTTACAAGTTGTTAACAACTTGTTCCAAACTTGTTACAACAACTGGGAACAAGCAGTGCAAACACAACTTGTGAACAGATTTGTAACAACTTGTTTGCAGACCTGTAACAACTTGTGCGTTTTTACACGTGTAGACAGGCCCACCCTATCCTTTTGCAAGGGTCAGGGACGTATTAAGACTATTAAAGCCCAGAAAATTGCTACCAAGACAAAATGTGGTGACACTTTACACGTGTTACAGTCGTGTGGAGATTTTGCGTGATAAGCATGCAAAATATGCTAATCATGCATTTTATTTTGCTCCAATACATACGGATCTATGACTATCACGCCACGGTTAATAGTCTAGGTCTATTAACCGTGGTTTTATAAAAGCAAATAAAGAAAATAATTGTTTTTCGGTGAAATAAATCTGCCTCTCTAAAATACCAACAATTCTGTACTGTTACGAATCTTATTCAAAATTTTTTCAAAGTATGTGGAAACAGCCAAGAAACAGAAAGCACGAATAGGAAACTGGGCCGAGTCCAAAAGGCAATTAGCACGAAGGAGGGTAGGGTGAGGTTGAGTCATGTTCAACTGCTTAAATTTTTTAGATTCGTTTATTAATTAAAACTATTCTTAAAATGTGCTGCCTAAAATAATCAAATACCGGTATTTGCACTTGTAATTTGATTGTCAAATATGTTTAGAGTGATACAAAGGGTTTAAAATTTTTTTCAATTACAAGCAAAAACGTCATTGCATTCTACTCCCCGCCCCCACGGGAAAACGTTGGTTGTAAAAATAGCAACTCCTCGGAATATAATATAAACCGACGCCTTTATATCAACACAGTTCGAAGTCAAGACAACATAAGGAATAGGGAAAATTTTTAGTCCTTTTCTAAATTTTAGATAGAAAATAAGGTACTATTCATTCCTATATGTCCCAATGTATTGTGGGTTTATTCTGCAGAGTTATTGAGGGAATTTATAAGGGTAATATCCACAAGCGACAAGTATTCATAGAGCGTTCGAAATGCGAGCTATTAGCTCGGTATTATAAGATTTTGTTTTGCTCTAATTTCTCGATGTTTTTAGATGCGAGAATATAAATTGGTCGTCCTTGGAAGTGGTGGTGTCGGAAAAAGTGCTTTGGTAAGAGAATACGTGCTTTTCTAATGTTTTATTTGCTTAAAATCATCGTGCTTTGGCAAGGCGAAATACGAGGCGAAATGGACAACACCTCTACGCTTATTTGTTGTCGACAGTGTTGCAAATTTGATGTCGATTTCGTTCGAACGTTATTTTCTTCGCGGCAAAGGAAAGCAGTACGAACTGATGTATATTCTTGTATTTTCTTGTAGACAGTACAATTCGTACAAGGAATTTTTGTTGAAAAATATGACCCGACTATTGAAGACTCCTACAGAAAGGTCAGTAAAATATCCTGGATTTAAAATTCAACCCAAATAACCAATTATTTCTAGTAGAAAATCAATGCTTTTGTGAGGAAAAGTCGAACAGCACATTTGGGCATATATAATTAACCTGAAAATTCTGTTAAAATTGTGAATTTTAAAACACTTTGATACATATTTTTGTCAAGGTTTACAGTAAAAACAATTTTTATCACATAAAAATGAGCGTGCTGTGCTGTCGAATTATTCACATATTTTCTCACGAGAAATACCCAAAGAGTCTTTCATGAAATAGTTTTATTTTCTTCCTTTTAGCAAGTGGAAGTGGACGGGCAACAATGCATGTTGGAAATATTGGACACTGCTGGAACGGTAAGGAATTCATCGTGTTTGATCATATTTTAGAAGAAAATCGGCAATCATTTGTTCAATTTTTGTGTCAATGAATGCATATTTGTGTGGCTTGATATGATCCTATCATACAACTGTACATAACGTCAAATTCAGAACTGTTTCAGAAAGTATCAGGCTTGTTTAAGTCAAATATATGCTCTCATATATGGCTGTAGCAATATAATGCTTAAACAAAGCTTATTCATCAATACTGAGTTGACTTTCTGTGAGGGTGTTATTTTGACAATCTGCCCTGTTTATATCTGAAATAAAAGTTGCAATTTATAGGTGTTAAAATACTAAACGTTTTTATCAAAACACAGTTTGTACAATCATGTTGTTTGCATACAGCTTCAATTTCAAGTGTTGTTTCCCCATGTATAAAAAAATTAAAGCAAATTCAAAATATATTTCAAATTTCTATAATATAGCTTCCAAAATGCAAATAAATTGTATAAAAACAGCATTTGGTAGATCAGTCATATGAAAATTCTGCCTATATTTAATACCATGCCAATAATTTTATCCGAGGGCACAAATTATTCTAGAAACTTCACAACATAATTATATGATTGCTGCATTGTTAGTTTTTAAGCTCATCTTTTGTGCTTTATTTTCTTTCCTATATGTAAAAATTCAGAGACTTTACAATTTAAGCAAAGGACATTCTTATAGCCACTTGAATTAGAGTCTAGCAACCAGAAATGAACTTAAAATTCCAATCAAAATTTTGAAGAAAGAGATGTGAAATTTGTCTCAGTATTACGTTTACCATTCAGATGAAGTGCCCCTTCAAGCTGTGAGAAATTTGAATATTGATTGCTCACTTCACTTAATTCCAATCAATTTTAATTGAAATTTTTATGCTGACTTCCTTGAATCATATGGAATTTTCCATACATGGGCAAGGTCATGTGTCAGTTATGAAATGTGTGAGCTCTCAATGTTAATCCTAATTCTGATGAGCAAGTTTTCCTTAGCCTGCTCACAGCCTGAAATTTAGGAGGACATTTACCCACCTTCTAAGAGGGCCTGTTTATATGATCCCGGCCAGGCGGGACAGGATGCTTACCGAGATCCCGCTCGTAGTACAAAATTCTAAAGAGTGTTTATATGATCCCGCCACTTATCCCGCCTAGACGGGATCTCGGTAACAGATCCAGCATCCCGCCTAAGCGAGATGAAAAATTCCCATATAAACACTTCATCTCAGCTAGGCGGGATGAATTTTTCCCTTTTGAGCATGCGTAAATGCCTTTATTGCAACAAAAATATGATGTCAAGCACTTAAATGGCTTCATCCCGGCAATGTATTTTGTTCATATAAACACTAGGTGAGTATCATGTCTAGGCGGGATGAAAACGTCCCGTCCGGTCTAGGTGGGATCATATAAACAGGCCCTAAATTTCAGGAGGCGTAGTTTTCCTTCGCAAGTTTTTCTTGATAACATTTTCTTGACAAGTGTTTATTGACAAGATTTGGTGTTAATCCCCGACTGTTAAGTTTTGGCTTTGGAGGAAATTACCGCCATTTGCAATTGAGCGTGCACCGTGCATTTTTTTCGAGTTGTTTTAGCATTGAAATTAACATGTAACTATGGGCGGAGCGACGTGTTACTAAGGCGGCTCAAAATGTTTCTTTATCTACTATAAGCCGTGCAATTCGATTCGAATAACTCATATTGCTTCTGTACAATTCACAAACAACATTTTATATACGCAATTCTTCATAGATTACATGCTTGCCCAAGATCCGAACCACGTAAAGTTTTTCATGAATCAGGGTCAGGGATCAGACAAACAAACTATCATTTTGTATAGAATTGTACTAGCAGCGAACATAAATTGGTTAGTCAAAACATAATTTGGAACGTCGAATATTTACGCTAATGGGCACTTAGTAGGCAAACAAAATTGGTTTTAAAGCGACCAAACTTAGTAACATGAAATCAACAACATTAAATATACAGTAGACACCACTATTAACCGACATAATAGTCAATACTAAAGTGACAAAAAGTTTATATTTCTAATTCCAAAGCAAAAATATTTTGCACTGGCACCTTCAGGTAAAGCGAAAAGTACAAGGTGTGTATTATTTCGCACAAATAAACTGTAAACAAACCATCAAACTAAAGTGTTTGTCTGAGTCTTGGCGGGGGGTCAAATTTAATAAGCCGCCTTAGTAACACGTCGCTCCGCCCATAGTTACATGTTAATTTCAATGCTAAAACAACTCGAAAAAAATGCACGGTGCACGCTCAATTGCAAATGGCGGTAATTTCCCTTGCCAATATTTCCTGAGAAATTGTCGTGTTTGAATGAGTTAACAAGATTATCAAACATGCAGCCCTGTGATTCCTGTATCAGGACCACATGTTCAATTCCTGTCCAGAGGGTTTATAGTTGAATCTGCCGAAGTCTCTTTTGGGGTCCATTATTATTTTGCTCTGTGTAATGCCAGACAATTTTACTTGTCAAAAGGAGAGTCTCTTGTACAGTAATGTTGGTTAATTAAATTGGAATGTGCCCAATATGCCAGGGTTTTTTTCAGGATTTTCTCTTGGGTCCATTTTTGCAGAGAAGATTGAGTTTAGCTGAACAGCTGGGGGTGTGGGGCAGCTGTGGGAGGCTGATGCCTGTACCCAATAAGTGTAGTTGAGACGCAAATGTGTTAAAGCAGAAGCAAAAAGGGAGACTATAAACTGGTTAAAGATAGCAAATGCGTTGTTTTCTTGTGTTGTGAAATGAATTCCAGCCATTTTTTCTTGATTGTGGGGTTTCCAACTAAAAAACTAATTTGCACACGTCACGAATTTAACTCAAACAACTTCATTTTATTCATTGAGTCTTTTGGTGAGAAGAAGAGTTTTTGGGGCTGTTTTACGGTCCTAAAAAATCCCCGAAAAAAAACTGTAGTTGCCCTGTACTTGTCATGGGATACATGTTATAGGTATTCATGGGTTAACTAAGTATACATAATAAATAGTTATATTTTCCTAATAGGAACAATTTACAGCAATGAGAGATCTGTATATGAAAAATGGTCAGGGTTTTGTACTGGTGTATTCCATAACATCACAATCTTCTTTCAACGATTTGGGAGATCTTCGCGATCAGATCATCAGAGTCAAAGACACCAGCGAAGTAAGTTTTTAATTTACATTCGACATGATTCGGTGATTCCCAGGCCTTAAAATATTATTGGTCAGAGAAACTGTCTGACAAAATGTTCATCTTTGAGTTTGGTTTGGATACTGTATTGTGATGGAAATAAGTATGAATGCAGACTACTATCAAATTGATATCAACACAATTTTCAAAAGTCATTTGAATCGATCCTGATACATTTTGATTGATGTTGGACAAAGTTACAGTTAGGTCGGACATCAATTCACTCTGGTCGGACAAACAATAAACCACATTTTAACATAGGTTGGACAGAATGTCCAGTGGTTTCCTCTCTACGTCGTAAAATTTCACAAGTGGGTGGGACAACGTCCTTGACCAACCGATATTTTAAGGCCTGGATTTCATAAATGTGCCAATCATAAAAAAATTTCTAATCCTGACATTGACAAACAATTAAACAAGTAAATTCAAATAGTAACTGACTTTTAATATCTTCCAGGTCCCAATGGTTCTAGTTGGCAATAAATGTGATTTAGAAGATGAAAGGATTGTTGGAAAAGATCAAGGACAAGCTCTTGCAAAACAGTTTGGAAATTGGTGAGCATATTACAGTATTATGTGCTTGTTATGTTTCAGTTTCCCTGGAAAACATCACTGGTTTGAGTGAATAGGTTTTGAGGAGTGACATTTGTAGCTGGTGGGAATATTTTGGCGATCAAAATTCCACACAAAATTTGTCACAATTGGTTTGGCCAGTCTCCCTAGCACATTTTACTTATCTTATTTTCCCTCTCATTTTAGCACATTCCTGGAAACGTCAGCGAAGACAAAAATAAATGTAACAGAAATTTTCTTCGACCTCGTTCGACAGATCAACAGAAAAACTCCTGAAGTGAACAAGCCTAGAAGAAACATCTTTAGAAGATGCGTCATTTTGTAAAAAAAAAACTTAGCTGATGGGCTGTACAGTGTGAAAAGAACACTAAACAACATTAACGTATTTAAACCTTTTGCACTTGCTTGCCTATCACAAGGTGACTTAGTGTGTGACAAAATATGCAAGATGGACACAAAGTATATGGAGGAAGGCCCCCTACTAGTTGCTTATAAATAACGTTTAAAATTGGAAGGGATACTGAATTTGTATGACAAATTTCTCCAAGTGAAAGTTCACTCTATGGTTTACAATACCATATTAGACCTTTATAAAAAGGTTGACGTCAGCAGGCTTGTGACGTAGTTTACGGAGAAAATCCCGAAAGCACAGAGTTGTTTTACTTGTTTTGAGTTTTTTAAAAGCCAAAAGAAGCCAGTATTAGGGTAAGTTTGAAGTAAATTTTTCTATATATAGGCCAAATGAGTTTTCATATTGGTTAGAGTTTATTTTATTTGTTTTTATATTGGATTGTGCATTTATTTTACTGTCAACATTTAGCAAATTGTTCGCTCGGTTTGTATTTTTCTTTTTTGTTTCCCAAATTCATCAGTATAATCATCAGACTTGCCCAACCTGGCAAAACCTTGATAGAAAATTAAAGCTAGATTGTTGATCGAGACACGGAAAGTGTTAATCACGAATGATAAAAGCTATACTTGTCATGTATGTTCACTTCAACTATATATATATCGATAAAATAATAGACTTAGTCTTAGTTATGTCTAAGTTCACTCATGACTTATGTACCTCTTTGCACGATCACTGAGCCTGTGTATTGCTATCTGCAGCTTGAATCTGCTTGATTGGGGCCATTCTGATGATTAGACTGATGAATTCGAGAAACAAAAAAAAGAAAATATACTTTTAGCAAAGAAATATGTAAACAGACCGAGCGAACAATTTGCTAAATGTTGACAGTAAAATAAATGTACAATCTAATATAAAAACAAATAAAATAAACTCTAACGAATATGAAAACTCATTTGGCCTATATATAGAAAAATTTACTTCAAACTTACCATAATACTGGCTTCTTTTCGCTTTTAAGAAAAACTCAAAACAAGTAAACAACTCTGAGCTTTCGGGATTCTCTCCGCAAACTACGTCACAATCCTGCTGACGTCAACCTTTTTATAAAGGTCTATTGGTGTTACAGCATAAAAATCTTACAAAGATGTTGAACAATGGGAGGCCATAGCAAAATGAACCAATAGGGGATTCTAGTACACACGCAAAAATCTCGCATCTTGTAGCATGTCTGCCAACAAACCGTCAACAAGTTGTGTTCGCACTGCTTGTCCCAAGTTGTGAACAAGTATGGAACAACTTGTTAACAGTGGCAACAACCTTGTTGATATTATCAGAGTTGTTGCAAGGTTGTTCCAACAAGTCCGAGACGATCATGATTTAACAATATTTTTACAACCTTTTGTCGTCAACCTTGTAACATTCTTGTTATATCATGACTGTTAGAACAACTTGTAACAAGTCTGATAATGCTATCCAGCTTGTTACAAGTTGTTAACAGCTTGTTCCAAACTTCTTGCAACAAAGCAGTGCAAACACAGTTTGTCGCCAGCTTTTGAACGGATTTGTAACAACTTGTTTGAAGACCTGTAACAACTTGTGTGTTTTTACGTGTGTCGTCTTCGAATTGGAAGATTTTTATGCATGTAGTTACCATCTGTGGTCGTACAGTAATATTATTTCTAAATATTAATAATTATAAATATTGATTATTGTTATTTTCAATACTGGCTCATTTGCATTTTTTGCGTTAACTCGTACCCAGGGCACAGAATGGAGGAAACACAAAAGGTCGACTCAGCCAAAAAAAGCGTAACCGCTGCCACGCCATGATTCGCAATGATTCGTCATCAAAATGCTGACGCCATGGTCGTAGCTAGAGTGCTTATGAGAGGCATTCACCCCCTGGACGTCCGCCATTTTAAATATTTTCAGGGGGGTGAATGTTTCTCGTAAGCGCGTAAGCGCATGTATTATACAACGGTTACGTCCAAATCATAGGCACAACCGAGAAGTCGACCTTCTGTATGTTTCTGTTCTGTGCCCAGGGCTTCTGTGCTTACATGAAAAACGCCACGTATATTTATTATTAGGGACCGACCATAAAGTAACTGCTAGGGTGGACCGGAGGGGGAAATAGGTTTTCCAGAAGAAAGAAACGGTGGCCCATCCTGAGAACCTAGAAAAAATTTCAAAGCCCATCGCAGGTCATTGGAAAAATTTCACGACCCATCCGCTATACATGAATATGTACAGTATAGAGGTCACTTTGATCAAATTACTAGTCATGGTACGTATTGAGTGCAAACAGGCTATATGTGTTTCATGGCCAATCCATTTGCACAAGAAACAAATTGATGACCCACCCAAACTGATGAAAATAATTTCATGGCCCATCCTAATTATTTCCTCTGGCCCATCCAAGCAGTTACTTTATGACCGGTCCTTTAACGGAGTTAAAGAAGGGAAATTCTTCATTAGAGAAGGGAAATTCGTCTTGGACGGGAAACTCTAAAGGCCTTTATAGACTTTATACGAAGGCATTGACGAAGCTAGTCATGCATGGCAACTGGTCATGCTATCCTAATAAATATGGGTTAAAGACAATTGCATAGCATGACCTGTTGCCATGGCTAGCTCACCAGTTTACAAAGGCAGTCACATCAAAGGGATTGGGATTAAAGCCTGTTGTCCACTAGGCGGAATTTTCAATTTTGGGCGCGGAGCAGAATGTTTCATTGTCTTTTTCTAATTAGTCCCACCCGAGAAATCATAAGACAAAGAAAAATTCCGCTCCGCGCGCAAATTCCGCCTAGTGGAAACCGACTTATTTCCGTCGCAACTTTTCCGTCCAAACGTTCCATACAACTGGTTCCTGGTGTTAGACAGTATATATTAACAAACAAGGATCAGGGTTCCTAGAAAACTTGGAAGTTCTTGACTGCATGTATTTGAATTTGAAAACAAATATTCAAGGCCTCAAATCTCAATATGCCCGAATTTGTAAAGAAGTACTTGAAAGTTCTTAAATTCTTCTTGCTTTAGTTTCTGAAATTGTTTGCCATTCCAAACGAATATTTTGTTGAATTGATTTCGCATGTTCGTATCTGACAAAGCTGTTTGAAATTAATTAAAGCTGCGCCCTTTTTAAACAATTGAACGTCACATTTTACTGATTTCTAATTACGCCTCTTCAGTATTTAGTTTACTGATACATGGCCTTGAATGTCCTTAATAAAAAGTCCTTGATTTTGACTCTTCGTGACATGTAATGAACCCTGTAGGATGAATTGCAGTTTAATTAATGGTTAAAAACTAGACTACCATGGACTCAGAGCTTTATTACGTCGACGTTTCTAAGTTTGTGGGAACGTACTCTTTATCACGAATTTCAGACGGTAGAATGATATTACTGTATTGGTAACCGGCTTGTGGCAATGTGCAAATTTGAATAGTATATTTTATGTGCAGCAATAAAGATTAAAAGTTCACAATTGAAATATACAAAATATACCTAACTACGTATTAGAAATTTTATTTTTGGAAACCGTTCATTAAATTTTTTGGGGATTGGTACCATCATAACACCAGGAGGTAGAATGTGTAACAAAATCACAGTTTATGATTTAATTAGATTTGTTTTCCCTTATTAGATGCATTGGTTCAGCGTTTATGTTACCAGTATCTATATAGGTGCAATGCAGACTTTGGTTACAAGCATCATGGACATTATTTCTTTTGATGTTCATTTCTGTAGAGAGACGGGGACTGTTGAGTACCTGGTGATTGGGTACAAATTATATTCAATCATTTGGAGGAGAGTTATGAAAAATATGTAACACTATTCACAGCAATTCTTCGGCATCAACCCTAGCTAGGTAATGAACGGTTCCCTATAGCTGTTCAAATATCAACCAACCTCGCAAGCCAGGCCCTCGCTTTTCCCAAGTATAAAGTTTCTGGTTTGCAAGGTTGGATCTTAACCGAGCATATTTTATGCTCCTTATTACATAAAAAATGTTCCCAAAGTGCATTCATTAATGTGCTAGTTATTTTCTGTGGTTTGAATATTGTTTCTATATTAAAATACAACAACACCCCTCGGCTTCCTCCTCGTTTTTCGGCTCGCCTTCTTGTTTAGCTCCTTCTGTACCTCCTGTGTCCTCCTTTGTACCCCCTCCAGTATCCTCGGTTGTACCATCAGATCCCTTAGCTTCACCTCCCGTCCCTTCTGATCCTTTTGCTTCCCCTGCCGCTCCGTCCTCGCCTTTACTTTCCGCTTCTTTGGCTTTAATGAAAGAAATGGAAAAAAAATTGACATGAATAGAGCTACCAGAAAAAACTTTTCTTCAAAAAAAGAGATTTCTCGCAACGAATATATCGAAAATATATATGGACCAAGTGGGCAAGATGGAGCATTCTTCAATGCGGTATCATGCATGTATGATGTATTCGCCGGACTTATCATTTCTTCTTTGCCCAATGCATTAATTTCTGGTGCCGCATGGCTGATATCCTCCTGATAATGTCCACCACGGATTCCCGCAGTTATAATACACTGACGAATTATATCAAACGGACGCCCGACTATCTTTTATGCATCGCAGTGTTTCATTAGTTACAATTCATGCAAATTGAGGCAACCTCAGCCGATTTGATTTACTTGTCATTGTTATTGAATTAAGAACCCCCGGATTGTAACTGTCCAAATTTAAATGATTCACATGGCAGATATGTGATCAATCATTTCCCTTTGGCCTTCAATTTTTGACAGACTGTTTTAAGGGACATAGGCTAGGTTTAATTATTGAAAGTAAATCGTAAATGACTGGCATATAAAAGGATACGTTTTAAATCTTCAAGTCTGCATTATAAGATTTGGTCCAGACTTCGGTCTTTTGGTAGATTTGAAGATTGAAAATTGTATCCTTTTGTCCGTCAAATTGATAATGGAGGGATTGAATTAACTTAAGCAGTAAATAAGCATCCTTCCTCTAAAATCTCACACTAACAGGGAATTTACACGCCAGACTATTTAGTCAAAACACATGCCAAGTCTTCGGATGGGAGTGTGTTAATATACTTAAGGTATATGTTGTTATATTCACGTAGTTATTTGTCAACATTTGATTTATACAATTGACAAACATATATAAATCATCAATAACGATGCGGAGTAACTTAAACCAAAAAGGCGTGTGTATATTTACCATCGGCGTCAGTCGTGGCTTCTCCCTTCGCTTCGCCCTCCGTTCCTTCGTCGGCTCCTGTTTTCGCAGGCTCTTCCCCCTCGGCTGGCGGGTCAGTCGCAGGCGTTTGTTCTTCTTCCGCAGACATTATTTTGTTTTAAAGAAGGCTCGATGAAATTTCAACGCTGTAGTTTGCTTTGGTAAAATGCATGCAACAAGGACGCTAATATTGTTGACGCTTGAATTATTTATCAGCAACCTGCCTTGTCCGATGGACCCCACCAGAGATGGGAATTTTTTGGTTTTCATCCTTCGTTTACGTTTAAAACAAATTCAATGCGGTTTTCCGCTTTGCTAAATGTTTCGTTTTCAGTGGCGGCGCCAGGGGGGGGGCAAGGGGGGGCAAATGCCCCCGCAAAATTATTTTTTG